ACAAAACCTCTTGTGATGGTTTTAGAAGAAAAGTGAAATATGTTGTATACATAGTTGGGTTGCTTCCAGGACTTTGTGGTTTGAGAGACTAGAAACATAGAAAAGGCAAATTTTCCTATTGCATTTCAGCCAGATTTACTTGAAAAGACTATTTTGTTCCTCTGAACTTTCTTAATTCCATTTGAGTTGTCATCACCTGAAAACATTATTGAACAATATCATTGCAAGATTCTACTGAAGATTATCCAAAAATGACTGGAACAGCACATTAACAGAGAACTTTGTGAACTTTAGGCTGGGTTTAGAAGAGTCCATGCATGGCACTAGGGATATTATAGCTAATGTCAGATGGATCTTGGCTGAAAGCAGAGAGTACCAGAGGAATGTCTGTGTTTCATTGAATATACAAATGCATTTGACTGTGTGGATCACAAAAAAATCTGTGAAGAATGGGAATCCCAGAACACTTGATTGCGCTTATGTGAATCCTACATTTGGAGCAGGAGGCAGTGGTCAGAACAGAGCAAGGAAACACTGCATGGTTCAAAATTGGGAAGTGTGTACACCAGGGATGTTGTCCTGTCTCCATACCTTTTCAATCTATATGCAGAACATCCCATGGAAAGCCAAAAGGATAAATAAATTTGCCTTGAAGGAAGTGCCACCAGGTTGCTCCTTCCAGACAAAGTTGGTGACTCTTCATATCAAGAGCATGGTATCAGTCCTTGGAAGAAGACAACATGTTGGGAAAGAGAGGAAGTCAGCAAAAGACATGAAGAGGTTAAAAAAGATGGATTGAGTCAAACTCATTGGATATTGTGAGGATGCTGTGGGATAAGGCAAGATTCAGAGTTGTTGTTCATAGGGTATCAATGAATGATAGTTTACTTGACAGCATCTAACAAAACCATCATATCCTTCCTTACCCTATGCAGCAAGGAAACATGTCTTGGTCATGAGGGTCAAAGTCAGGTAGACCACCTCAAGTAGAATAAGCAGAGAGGCTCAGAAGTCAGGGCCCCAAATGAAGACTAGGGTAGGTATATGTGAGGGGTTTTAAAAAAGAAAGGAAGAAAGAGGTTTTGATGAGCAAGATGTAGGACTCTTACCCTTTCAGTTAGCAGTCCATCCCCCAGGGATTACCTTCTATAGATGGTGTTTTCTTTCTTCATATTAGTGATTTATATGTTCTCTCTCTGTCTCTCAAGTTCAGGAGTTGCCAATTTTGTCAATCTTTTAAAAGAACTGGTTTTTAGTTTTAATTATTTTCTCTTTTGTCTAAATATTTTCTACTTTATTGTTATCTGTTCTTGATTATTTCCTTATTTTTAAGGGTTTTCACCCTTTTATAATCCCCTTATTTAAAAATCATGATTTTTAAATTCTATTTTGGCTTAATCTCATAAATGTTAGTATTCTGCCCCCCCTTTTTTCTAGTTTCAATTGTGTTATTCATAAATTATTTAGTAGCAACATCAGGCAGGATAAGTAGAGAAAATTACTGACATTGTCAAGGAATTTATTTTACTTGAATTCATCATCAATGACCATAGAAACAGCAGTCAAGATATGAAACAGGTAAATGAGCTACAAAAGACCTCTATAAAGTGTTAAAAAGCAAAAACGACACTTTAAGGGCTGAGGTGGCATTTGTCATTGTCCTAGATATTACATTTGGTATTGACTTCTTACTTAATTTTGCTTAAAAATATACTTATGTATTTAAGTTCTTCCAAACTTCCTGACTTATTTTGTTGTCCAGAATGTAGCCTATCTTTGAAATGCACTCTGTGTACTATAAAAGAGTATACAGTCTTCAAGTGTTGGATGTTGGATTCCACAAATGTCAGAAAGATCATGGCTATTGTTAATATTTTTCATATCTTCTGTGTTGATGAATATCTTTTGTCTCATTTTTCTGTGACTTGCTTGTTAATTGGGTGCTGAAAATCAATTAATATATTTCTAGAATTATCTATTTCTTTCCTTTTTTGCTTCAAGTACTTTGAAGCTCTGCACACACATTTTTTATTGTTATCTTTCTGATAACTTTTTCTTTATATATAAAAAAAGTCCAATGTAGCACACAAGAGCAATGATTTTGTAAATCATTACCTAACTTGGGAGAGACTGGAGAGCATTATGCTAAGTGAATTAACTCAGTTCCATAAGGACAAATATTGCATAAAACCATTAATGTAGCGTGAGTATGAGGATCTAAGGGGAGATGGAGCAAAGGGGCCAGGATAGGCAGGAGATAGAGGGTGGTTAATCATAGGGTCTTACAATTTGATGGGGGGAGGGAGAGGGAAGGTGAAGGAAATGGGAAAGATCTGGTGTGAAAAACAATGTATTTAAACTTGGTAAATAAACCAGTATTAATTTAAAAAAAGTCCAATGTTACTTCAAAACAGACATTAAAAGATCTTGAGGTATAGTAGTTATAATTTATATTAAGGTATAGTACTTAAAATTTTAAAAGGAACGTATTTTAAAAGAACTGGAAGGTAAAGTGGAAATCTTTCAGCAAATTTTAACACCAACAAAGAAAACACTAATAACAGGAAATAATAACAACCTTTTAAGATTTTGAGAAAGGATCAGTTTACGCAGTCCAGAACTCAAATAAAAGGAGTTCCATAAAATAAGCAAATCAATAGATTGATAAAAGAATAAATAAAACAGAAGAGGAGAAAATGACAAAGAATATTTTCCATCATTGAAGGGCACGGATTACGAGATGAAAGAATTTACCTAGGATCTAGCACAATGAAGACTGAAGACATACACGAAGGTGCAGAGTCATGAAATTTAAGAATGTCTGAGTTTTCCTTTTGCTCAGCTCTTAAAAGAATAGATTTGCTATGAGGGAAACACTTGTTCCAGGAAGGCAGGTGAATTTCTGAAAAACAAACAAACAAAAAAACACCAAAACCCCAAAAATAAATGGAATAAATGTGGACTCAGTTATGCTTACTTATGAATCCATAGTGAACAATTTTAATTTCAGTTGTTCACTATAGATTTGTATGTGAGCAAAGTAAATAATCCTTGCTTGTGTTGCTTGTGTGTAATCTGACACTGTCCAGGAGAAAAAAAGTCCCTCCTTTTTAATCTCTGAGTTTTATCCTCATTCACCTGGATGGTCTGACAGGGGGTGCATTCCTGCCAAAAATTCAAAGCAATCACATCCCTTCACCCAAGTTTTCTGGTTAGACTCAAATCGTGTGAATCTTTGAAATATTCCTAGTACACAAGCACTTAGGCGCCAAGAATCTTTGTTTAACCACTTTAGCAAGTTAATCCCCAAAGTTGTGCTTTAAGTCTGTTATAAGATTTAATTAGGATAATGTACTGTATGTTTCCTTAGGAGAATATTTGTTCATACATGTGATAAGACCTAATGGTTACCCCTGAACACTTATTAGTTGATACCCTTGAGCAGTTTGGGAATTCATTTTCAAATGAGGTATAATGAGTTAAATGATGTTGGAAGTCATCCAGATGAGGGAACCTAGGCCAACAATGAAGGCAATGGGAAAGAAGTGAGGGCCTGGGATTACGCCCCTGCCAGTACTGCTGCTCCTTACACTTCCCAAACCAGTTAAAACCAGCAGCGATGGACTTGATTCCAACTCGTGGTGAAGTGGTCCCACATGTGTCAGAGTAAAACTTCTTCATAGGGATTTTATTGGCTGATCTGTAGGAAATAGAATGCCAGATATTTCTTCTGAAGATCTTTCGGAGTGGATTGAACTTCTAATCTTTAAATTAGGTACCAAAATCATTAACTGCACCTCCTAAAGACTGGTATACTTTCCTAGTCTAGGATAATTCTTTACAACTAGTTTTCCTTTGGATAATATTCCCTTAGAATCCAGACTAGTCCCTTCAATCATGCATGAGCTCTCAGCTTTGAACAGTTTTCTTTCTCTAAACAGCATTATACTCAAATTAAAAGGATTAAAGACTCATCTTTACTCAGCTGGTTGTTGCTTCTTGCTGAAATTTCCAACTGACTATTATTATTGCTACTTCTCCAGCTCACTTCACACCTGGAATAGTATTTCTTCAGTGGTCACGGTCTCTGGCCATCTTTTTAGAATGGTCTGGGTATTCAGTGATCACAACTTTGCATTTCCAGAAGGAGTCTTGTTCTTCCAGTTCTTACACACCCTTCACTGAGGAAATCTGAACATGTTGGGGCCTGTATAAATTTCATTTGAAGGTACTATATGAACTCTTGCCAAGCATTCATTGCTGCTTCTGGACTGATACCCCACGTCAAAACATGGGCATTTTGACTCCTAGGGATTTTTTTTTGTCTTCCTTCCCCGTATTACATTCTCTTAATCCATACACACACATTTGAGATGAAGGCATTATCATCTCTTAATTATAACTGCAGACTGATAGTTCTAGTCTTCAAGCTAATTTTTATGTTTTGTATGAGACTTCTTTGTCTTAGGAAGCCTTACAATCTTCACTAAGTATTCTTGTTTTGAAGTCACCCCAACATACTTGAGGAGACGATCTAGATAAAAGTTTCTCTTGAACTCTTCTTTTTAATGTATAAAGTGCCTAAAATATACATGGCAGGTGCTAAATGCATCACATGTATTACCTCATTTAATTTGCACAAACACTTGTGAAGTCCACATTTTATACACTCGATATCACTGACTTAGAGAATCTCATCTTTTTTTTTTTTTAGTTGTTAAAAATTAGTCACACAGGGATTTGAACTGAGTCAAACTCAAGAGTCTATGACTAGTGCAGATAAGGCTCTTGGTTACAACTTGAAGGTGTGCCTAATTCAGGCCATGTGATGACATCTAACAGCAACTGATTGAAGAAGCGATGGTTTTCATCTTCCCAAAGTTACCTTGGAAGAAAAGCTGAGCCATCTGCCTTCAAAAGCCAGAATATTGGACATTCTATTGTGCACAATTCTGCTCTTACACACATAAGGTTCCTATTGATCAAAATCAACTCAACAGCGTTTGAAGGAAGGAGATACAATCATTGTTCCTGGAGTAGAAGGGCCCATTGTAACTCAGATTCAAGGCCTCCTTTTACCTCCTCCTATGAAGGAATTACGAGTGAAGAACCAATATGAAAAGTATAAAGAAGTTGAAGCAGCTCAGGGGGTGAAGATTCTTGGAAAAGACCTGGAGAACACATTAGCTGGTTTACCCCTGCTTGTGGCTTTTAAAGAAGATGAGATACCTGTTCTTAAAGATGAGTTGATCCATGAGTTAAAGCAGACATTAAATGCCATCAAATTAGAAGAGAAGGGGGTCTATGTCCAGGCGTCTACTCTGGGTTCTTTGGAAGCTCTACTTGAATTTCTGAAAACATCAGAAGTACCTGTAAGTAACTGTACCCAACTTCAAGAGGAGACAGCTTTGGTGGTATGTGGCTCTGTTCCCTGATACAGTGAATTAACTCCGAAATTCTCTTTTCATACAGTATGCAGGAATTAATATTGGCCCAGTCCATAAAAAAGATGTTATGAAGGCATCAGTGATGCTGGAACATGATCCTCAGTAAGGAATTTTGTTTTCTGCTATTAAGTCTTTCCTCTTAGTTGCCCGTTTTCTTAGAATTGTCCTTTATGTCCTCTTCATTCTATTTTTTGTTCCCAGATATGCCGTAATTTTGGCCTTTGATGTGAGAATTGAACGGGATGCTCAAGAAATGGCTGATAGTTTAGGCGTTAGAATTTTTAGTGCAGAAATTATTTATCATTTATTTG